TGTAATATATCAAACTGAATTCGATACGTTTGTTAAAACTGACATTATTATATACTTATATGACACTCTTAATCATGAAACTAACCATATGAACAGGATGCTTTAAAGTTACACATGCATAACCTGTGCATCAATATGAGGTGCAGGCACTAGCTCAACAGTCATTATGACTGGCTCTGTGAGCAAAGACCTGACCGGTAAATGTGCTATCATTTCTTGAACAATACCACTGTTCAGCTTTCTGCTACCTTCTGAGCTGCTATTCTTGCCAGTGTTCACCAACTGAGATCCGTTATCATCAAGGTTATCGTTGACATTATCGCTACCATTACCATTATCATTGCCGGTTGTCGTTGTAGGATTAAGGATCGCTGGGCAATGCTCTCGCATTATGAAACTCTGCACCATGTATGGCTTTTGAGAAGCGCTATTGTCCAATGGTCTCGCAAAACCTTCGGGCATTATTTGTTGCTCAGAAATGGGGCTCATCGAACCACTCTGCAAGAATCATGAATGATTTATGATTCTACTATTTCATCTTTGCTCACAGACTAATAAATGCTATTTTCAAGAGTATTCGTTCATAAAGGAACTTCTTTGATTATCTCTATTCCTTTTCTTCATTCCATCGTATTCATTTTCCAAGAACATATCCAATCACATCAAAAGAAATAAAGTGTTCATTTACCAAACAATCTTTCTAAGAGCAACTTAAATCGAATCAAGCCCCAAAACAACAAACGAACCGTATGTGAATGCCGTTCGTTGTGTTCCTTATGAACACTACTTGTTGTACTGCTACTACCGCAATTATTTACCAACACCATATCATCTCGTCGCGATGATGCCCTTGCCGTTGTCGTCACTACTAGATCCTCTTTCATCACCACATGCTCACGCTCTTCTCGCACGTAGCTATCCATCTTATCATCGTCAATCATCAGTTCTGACGATGACTCAGTTTGCTGTTGCTGTTCTAAATTTAGTGATGTGCACGCATCTGCTTCCTTAGCACAGGAATCAAAACGATGCTCCATTGATGAAGGTGACTTTGCTTTTATTGCTGTAGCTGTTTTACATAACGATGATGTTTTTGAATCCATTGAATTTTTAATGTTTGTTGTCGAATTACCATCATCACCACCACTAGCAGCAGCAGCAACACGAAAATGAGTCAAAACATGTTCACGACATAGTTGTTTCGTAGCGAAACGTTGCTGACACTTCGCAAACTGGCAACTGTATCGTTTCGTTAACTTCACTATTTTATCTGCAATTTGTGACTTCTTTTATAAAACTAACCGATCGATTTAGTCAATGCTTAATTACAACAGATTGCCTCACCTGATCAACAGCACAGAATACAATTGACAATAATGATCATAATAACGATAAAAAGCAATATGACAACGTACTTGGTGAAATTATACCGGTCAGGTGTTTCTTCGGCGAAAGCTTTAACTGCCAACGATGCACTCGGGCGATGTGTTTTTGAAGTGTTTTCATGTCATGATATCTTCGTTGACACGTCACCACTGGACATGCGCACGGTTTCTGCTGAATTAAACGAAGCAATTAGCATCGAACGAATAAAGTCACTGAAATCACTACATTGTTTCTTGAACATGTAACTTACTTAATATCTACGTTAAACATTTTGACGTAGCGATCGTCACCGTATGGATCAGAGGAAAGAGGTATGTATATCTTGGGAGTGGGCGAATTCAGGTTACGTACTTTGCTTAGTAGGGATAACTGAACGATCTCGAGGTGAGCTTTTCTAATTATTGAAGCTACACTGGAAACGTGATGATGAAATTTAGAACAATTTAATTTAATCAATCCAGGATGGTTGACTACGACGCCTTGACTTCGGATGAATGGGGAGAGAGCTAATTCTTGGTTCTGGATGTTGGAGGAATTATTAGGATGGTTCATACCAATTGTATTCAACTTCGTTTGTTCTACAGCTAGTGGTATGACGACTACTGGTTTATGAAATTATGCAACTGAGTCTGGAAAAAAGGCACTCTGGAAGGCTTTCAATAAGGATGAGAAAACGAAGGGGTCCCAGAACGAAAACTTGATAAATATGACTGCTGATGCATTCTGACGAACCATCCTGGATTGATTAAAGTCTCGGTTTGCAAAAAAGTCTCGGATTCAATTGGATAGATAATCTTGTATGTCATATGCTTTTAATTTTGAGGATAATTTAGGTGCGTGCTGATGCTCTTTGAAGGGTATTAGGAAGAGTAATGTGGACTGCTGCCAGTTGATTGCTTTTCATTTGATTTTGTGGTCGTCGATTGGTTATTTTTTCGTTATTGAATTTTGTTACTTTTTTGCTTGCTCGTGTTTATTGTTGCTGAATAGTGGAAGGAACAATTTTGAATGTTTGATAGCGTATTAAAGTTTTTTTCTCAACAAATCACCAACGCAACTGCAATTTTTGAAGGAAGAATTGAAAGTAGCGAATAGCGATAACGACTGTGCAGACTAATTTTGTTGAGTAGCGTTCTAACGGAAACTACCGCTGCTTCTTTCTATTAGTGAAACTTTTAGCCGAAAGTTTTCGCTGTTTTTCCGTCAACGGCGAATGTAGAGAATTCTTTTTAACAGAACAATTTTTTTGGCGATTAACGGAGATTTGGCTAGTAGTTTGCGTGCCTATCACTGATCATAACCAACAAAGTACCTCATTTTCTTCGGCCATTTTTAGGGCCACTTCAGTTGTGGCTCGCATAGCGTCATCTTCTTCATCCATATCCAGTTCATCTAATTCTTCTTGTGAATAACAATTTCTTAACGTCGACGATGACGGTGCACCGATCGAACGACCAACATCAGCAGTCAACAACCTTCGTTGTTCATTCATAAGAACACCATTCACTTTATCAGCACTCATTAATGCTGCGCCTTCTTCAGCTGTTGCTTCTGTTTTTGTAGTTGTGCCATCCACATCACTAGTCGGGCTATTACAAACAGTTTGTGATCGCTGTGCTAACGCGTTCAGTGCAGCATCAAGTGGTGCATGTCGCTGCAGATGAATCGTCAAATTTTCGGCATGTTGCGTGCGAAAATCACATAACGCTTGCGGACATTTCATCACGTCCAAATCATCACAAGAAGACGAAGGGGCCCCAAACATTTTTAGTGAGGACGAAGGTGATGGTGATGTGAGCAGCAACTGTTGTTGTTCTTCTGAAAAACTTGCAAATAATACTCATAACATCTCTGATTAATGAACAACTAATTAGGGGACTGCTTCATCAACTGATTTAATTTTAATCAAAATTCATCTGCATGGAGAAAGGAGAGTGGTAAAATCGCAGGATTAATAAATGAACACATAAAACAACAATCAATTAATGCACAACAAATGAAATTTCTTGTAAAACCACCAACCACCAGCTGCTACTGCAGCAGCAACAAGTGAAGCGCCAGAATGAAGATTTCCTTTAATATTCAGTTGTTGACCACGGTGTTTATGAATGATATGAACGTGTCGTTGGAGTTCATCGTTGAATACTTCCGAACATAAATCACATTTATAATTCATTTTATTGGCACTACTGTTTAACGAACTAAATTGTTGCTGTTGCAGTGATGATAACGATGCTGCGACTGACTGTTGTTGTTGAACTTGCTGCAAGGAAAAGCTTTCTTTTTACCGATAACAATAACAATACCAATAAGACCGCCAACTGCAGCAAGAAGATAACCAAAAAAAGTATTAGTGATACGAACAAAAAACAACTACAGCAATAATGACAACGTTAGCGATCAATAATCAAAAATAATCAACAATATCAATAGAAAAGGTAATAACAATACCAAAAATTGTCTTACTTTTTGAAAAGTTTCAAGCAATTCGGTGGTGAAGTCAGTGGCATGTTTCTCTTGTATATGCTCTTGCAAATGCACTATCGACTTGCAACGATAATCACACAGCGGACAACGTTCAGTTCGACTGCAACACAAATTCAGTGGATTCGATTCGATTCGATTCATGTCGTTACCCCCCTCACAAATTCATGTCTAGCATTTTATTTCATTCATCTATCACTCATCCCATCATTGATGAACACAAACATCAAGTAAACAAACAAATAAATAAATATTTCAAACTATTGATTAATAATCAAATGTTAGCAGCCAAGTTTTGAGCAGCACATAGAGACTACAAATAGCGTATTCAATTATACGAAGTTCATGACCACTGACTGAAATTTGAATCTAGATACATATCAAGTGAGCGAGAGAGTATGACAGAGTGAGAAGGAGAGAGGCAGTGAGAAAAAGAGAGAAGGAGAGAGAGAGACTACCGACCGCATTGTGATTGTGGTGGTGGATGGGTCGAGGAAGCAGGCAAGTCTCATCGCTATCTCAAAATCTTCCATGAAACGTTCCGAAAAACGTTGCTGCATTGCACACATCGTTTAAATAACGATAATAATAATAATAATAATAGCAATAATAAATATTCCCTTTATGCATTAATCACATATATTCTTGGTGCTTCTGCGGCTGTTGTTGTCGCTGCTGCTGCTGATGCTTCCAATTGTTTTCGTGAACATATCATCGAACGGTACAATATCAGCATTATGACTCAATCACAATACAGAAAACAGATAATTGAGTACAGACGATGGGTTGTTCTTCAGCCACGAATATTATCCAAAATAGAACCGAATGAATAAAAATTTGTACGCAAAACCGAATACACTTCCGTTTTTTTCTGTCAAACAAAAAATTTGTGATCAGGTCGAATTGATATTTGGTAAGTGTAAGTTAGAGAGCTGATGGACTGGCTGCTCCTTTGGAAAGAACAATAAGCGAGGTGGCTGCTGATTTTAGTAAGAGTTGACAGCCAACTCTAGACACAACTGAATAAAATGATGTTGGAATGATTTGGTGATCTTTGCATCATGATGATGTCTTCACATCACATTGAATCTGACGATAACGATCAGTATTATTATTATTATTGTTGTTATTGTAAGTTCAACAAGAAGAATAAATTTTAAAATCACTTTTCACTGTACTTATCACAACTTTGTATATACATATACTACCTATATTGCAAAAACCGTTGCCAAGGGAATCAAAACTCGGACTGAGATGGATTACTGAATGGAAAAATTTGAAGAAAAAAGCTTGACCTTAAGCATAAGTGTAAGGTTTCGGCCAAATATTAGTCTGGGCTTTAGAGTTTAGATATTAACTAAATGGTAAGCCTAAGCCTGAGCACAGATCAATGACGCAAGATTAAGATGGATATATTTATGATGAAAAAAATATGTTTTCAACGAAGTGCACATCGTGAATCGAGAATGCATATAACATTAACTCACCACGAAGAGCAGTAACTATACATATTACTCACAAACATACAGTCCACTAATATTGCCACCCAATAGAATTGGAGTCTTTCAGCTTCACTATACAATTATGCGGTATAAAATTATTGCCACTAATGTGGCAGAATAATATTATTGAACTCACGAAATTACTCGAGCTCATACATGCGATAAATTTGAGCACATGCTTAAGTCGCCTGTTCCTAGTAGAGTGTATACCAATAATCTTAATTTAATTTAATCATGATATCATCATTGAATTCGTTATTTTTTAACTGATGCTAATATTCACAATAACATTTCTATAATACTGATATGAAGATCAAGTCTCAAAATTACATTTGTACAATGAATAAATTTGTGGCGCCACGATAATTTGAAAAACTAAAGAGATTTAATAGCCTTTTGAAAACTTCAAAATGAAGACAGAGAAACGTTGCTGATTAGAAGTTACAAGAATGATTATTGCATAAATAACTGCTGATTGTTTCTCTTCGATTACGGATGGAAATCACCGACAAAAACAACACATAATGCTTGCCATCGATGAATCCTTCAATACACAACACATATCATATCACTAGTTCATTTACCACTCCTTATCCCGTCGCATATATCGAATACACATTACTTGAATATGCACGTAACGAACGTCCGTCCGTTCGTTCGTTCCCTCGTACGTATGACACAACAGATACTACTAATACTGCAACTGCAGCATACAGATGATTTATACTATATATAGATAGATGGATGGATGGACGGGACGGATAGCTGAATGGATTGCTAGACAGAAAAATTCATAAACAGCGAGAAAATCTGAGAGAAAAATAGATAGATAGAACGATGGATGAGTGGATGGATGGCGGATGGATGGATGGGAAGAACCAGTCCTCCAGCCAGTCAGTCGGCTGGCTGCAAATAGCATCTTCACTTGGTTCGCAATGCTCAGCTGCTGAAGCAGCAGTAGCAGTAGCAGCAGCAGCAGCAGCAACAGCAGCAGCAACAACAGCAGTATCGTCATCTTCATTATCATCAGCATTATCATCACAAACCCATCTCTACTATTCCTTTCTCATTCATTCCACCAACCAACAAACTGCATGTTTCGTTTCCCTTCCAACCAACCCCTTATAGTCAACCGACCAGCCGATTTCTTGCTTCCATTTCCATTACTAATACCATTAACAGAAGAAATATACTCAACTAACAAACGCACACTGCAGACACAATGGTGAAGTAAAAGTAGAAAAATACAGACGAACGACACGACGATGGTCGTTTGATCGTTCTTATGTTTATACATCCTACGTACGTAGAATGTGGCTGCCTGCCATTTGCAATTGTAAGTGCTATGTGAACGGAATAAGGGTGCAATGAAATACGGATTGAATTGATGGATGAATTTAGGCACGGATAGATTTTGGGATGAATGAATTTAGCATCTAAAAAATATTTCAACGGCTGCCAACAAAGCGTTAATCGACATCAGCACTAGCAGACGTAGTGCTAACTGGTACGTCGTCGTTGTAAACATCATCACAGTCACATTATCACCAACACAAACCAATAATACTATCACTATATCATCGATTATCGCCTCTATTACCATCACCATTCAGTTAGTCACTACTGCATTAGCAGCAGCAGCATCAGATTAGATCACAGATATCACCAACACCGTTGCTTGTCATTTTATTAAGGTGACTCCTTCTAAATTCCGTTAAGGAATCAAGCAGCCATCCAACAAACCAACAGAAACATCACTAACAACATCGACATTCAGCGGCGCTAATATCATCATCAACATTACGTGTTGATTGATTATCAAACGAATCAATTCAATCATTCAATTCCACTTTCTTCTAAACCGAAAAAAATTCTTTTTTTCCATCAATTCCAATATAATTATCGCAATTCCATCCAAATTTGCATAATAACGCAAAAGTTGATTTGTATTCTCTGAAAATCCACTCCTCTATTTTCTCTCATCACTATCACCATTTATGTTCATTTTTTATTTATGCTCGTTTCAAACCATTCTCATTTTTACTTTTACCTCTCTGTCCCGTAACTAGTGATGTTTCTATTCCAGTTAAACTACTCTATTATTATCTATTCCAAGAAAAAATATAGAACAGTTCTCAAACGAGGAACGCACAGGATAGAATAGAGCCATTTTGGAGCGGAATAGAACAGCTCTCAAAAACACGGAATAGAGGCATTATTACCCATAACACAATCATTTTACTCATAGAGAGACTTATTCGATATATACTCAATCTTATCATTAGCTACTGAGGTTTGCAAGGGATCCAGGAGAATTGCCATCTCGTGATTCAGGTTCTGGGAAAGTCCGGAATTTGATAAAACACAGTATTTGGTATAATTTTGGTATTAAAATCATCTCGAATCACGCATTAATTATTCCTATCTGATTCATATGCAATAATATTTGTTGTTTATCATCAAAGTGGTAATGAAGCGGTGAATAATCGATTTATAATAGCGCCATCTCAGCCAATATGAATCCGAATAACGCAACTTCATCCGGACATAGTAAAAAAATACGATGAAAGCGGTAATCATTGCCACTGCTTCGAATAGCTCTTTTTCAGAAAAGACACTGAAACTGTGAAATGCACACTGTGCGATGAAATTAAAGCAAAAAGGTCGTTCAAGAAAGGACTACTTGTGCATTTAAAGCCGAAGCAAAATTTGATATTCTGCAGGCAAATAATTGCTGCCGTTGTCAGTAGAGACCTACCGATTACCAATTTCGTCAAACCTAATCCTGTTCCACTTAATGAAATGATCGGTTGATGGTGTGAGTTTTAACACTGTTGCGAAATAGAATAAGTGATTCAACAATCGATACCCCAGTGTTTCTCAGAGCTTATTTCAAATTTCATTCTTTGAATCTTTTGTTGGTATGTCAATCGTAAGTTCATTTCATTTATTGATGAGCATTTCTTTTGTCGACGATTCTATTCAACTATTTTAATACATTTTAATTTGAAGATTATACTATCTGTATGACACATTTTTAATCAATTTGATATAGCTGAGAATTTCAGGAAAAAAAAAGAATTTGTCGAAGATTACGTTTGGTTTTCTTTCACATGGAATTATCCCAGGATTGAGAAATGAACGCAGAATTTAATCGCGATCCTGGGATTGAAAAATCGTCGTGGTTGTGCAAACACAACTAGCTATCAATACTATCACCCCATCTACAATCAATCATACCAACACCCAACCACTGAAACACGCATACATTAACAGATGGGTGAATTTAGAATGACGGTGGCTAAGACAGACACAGATGAGAAGAAAAAATGAGTTCAGAACGACGACGAAGAAACAAAGAAACAATTGACCAACCATTCAGTGATTTTATCCGTTAATTGCCCATTAATAACCGGTGTTTGTGGTGTACCGAACATATTCGGTGCTGACGTAATGGAATGTTTCGGAGTTCGACCATTATTATTACTACTCGAGCTATTATTATTACTATTTGCAGACGACTGTTGTTGAGTTTGAACAGCCAGAACACCATGCACTTCTTGTTTATGCGATCGTAACAAGTTACGCGACTTTAATTCAATCATACAAATATCACATCTGAACGATTGAATACACATAATACCATTTGTACGTCTTATTTTGCATCATTATTATAGTTCATTCAACATCAAACTTTTTTGCACCAAATTATTCTAAATGTTTTATGTTGACATAGATCTTTCTTCAAACATTTGCTTCCTGGTACCACGTTCGGTTTTAATCAGATACACACTCACTCATTTTTCCACACTATCTGGTCAGCTCATAACAATACCAATGGTAGAAAAAAACAATAATAGTAACTGTAATTATAACAACGAAAAATAATAATGACAATGACAACAAATCATCGTAAAATAATCCAATGAAAGCATACCTAAATGATAGAGTGCCCATTTTTTCTTTCTCTAACGTATCAATATTTGCAATAACAGTTTTGTTTTCATCGATCACAATTCCGTGCATTTTCAGCATATGTGTACGTAGAAAGTATTTGTTGCACACTTCTTTATTACATAAATCACAATAATTTTTTGCTGATGACGAGTACTGACGTTTCACTGCTTGTTTCGGTTGTTGACTCTTTAAGATTATTTTCATGAACATTGATAAAAGTAAACATAAACACAAACATTGGACGGCAGTATTAATTTGCTGAGAAGAAACACTTCAATCAATCGTTTTTGAGCGGGGCTCCATGTGATTCCGATAGCAAGGTTCCTCGACGGTAAGAGTTCAGAAAAATCATTAGAAAATTTGCCAGATGAACTTTCCGCTAATCTGATCATCGTTTCAACGTCGACAAAAGTATTACAATGTCAGTAATAGTAACGAAAAAGAATGTATTGAAATGAGATATGTGCACAGGTAAACAAGTAGAAGGTTACCGGGTTAATATGGGCGTTGAGACCAGCCAAAAGATTCGTTTGATCGGCTTCGGTGATTGGAAAATTATGTGTTAAATTCGGTGGCAGAATGAACGGTAACGCTAAACCGGCCGGCAAGAAGTTACTGAGAAGTGATGATGCGTTCGCGATACCACTATGGTGAATGAGGATATGTTGTTGCAGGTAATGACGTGACTCAAATTCTTTCTCACACATCTCACAAGCGATTTTTTCATCGGCAACATTACCAGATAAGCCAACAGCTGCGGCTGTAGCAGCTGTTGCGCCACCTTGATTTGGTGATTGAGAGGTTTTTAGTGGAGATCTGAAATGAACCTTTGCTTTTGCGTCCCTTAATAAGTGTCATTCTAGAGAAGGTGAAGAAAAAACACATAAAAACATCTAGTAAAATGAATGACAGTCTAAAATTCTATTCACAAATATCGATGTAAAAAGATGTTAAAACGATGTCAGCGATTAGAAAAACTCAAAACCACCAACCAAAAAATTATTATGTGCAATATTTGCAACAAAACAACAATGGTAACAAGCAGTAAAGTCAACAACGAACGTAGCCATAAAAACGCATTCAAATTTTGAAGATATAACAAAACAATTGAATATACCACAAAAAACAAATAAAAACAATAAACGAACAACCTTTGCTGTTGCTGTTGTTGTTGTTGTTGCTGTATTTGAGTGATATTTTCAATACTATTCAAACTGTTGCTATTTGTAACTGAAGAAGCCAGAGGCATATGTTCTCGAGCTTTATGTGCTAATAATGAGAAAAGCGTTGGAAATGATTTATTACAGAGATCACAAATTGTTGCTGCTGCGGCAGCTGCAGCCATCAGTTCATTAGTTGTTGCTTGCGGCGTATTGCCCAGTGCACCACCAAGAGCTCCAACCCCAAATTGGGCCGATAATAAACTATCGAGTGGTAATCTGAATTGAATTATTCAGCATTTCACTTCGTGTAATGTAATGCAATAAAACAGCGACAAATAAATTTAAAAACGATTAGATAATGGACAATTCAACAAACTTCAGTTGCTTCGTATCCATGATGAGAGCGTTATTGTCATCGTCGAGCATCATCATATCGTCTTGAGTGGCCAAAGTTTCATCAAAAGCACTCGAATCTCGCTCTCGATCACGATCAGTTGACGATGAATCAAGTTTGATCATTTTTGCAGAAGGTGACGATAGCAACAAAGAAGAACGATAGTCGTTGGATGACGATGCCGTACCATTAACTATCACCGACTGTTGTTGTTGTTGTGTAACGGATGCTGCTAAAGGATGTTGAATTGTTGCAGTTGGAAGACATGTTGCTGTTGACGACGAAACAGACGCACATGTAGACGAGGATGACACTGAGAAGGGATTGGTTACTGCTTCATTATTGCAAGCACCTGTATCAGTAGCAACAGCAAGAAATTGTTGGTGTACCAACGGACTAGTGATGGCATCCGCAGCTGCATTACCAGTCGTGTTGACAGCTGCAGTGCCCGATGTCAATAGACAGCCGTTGAATGGTACTGTTGCAGTTGAAGAGGAAGCATTGATAATACCTGCGGTATTTGATTGAGATCGAGATCCTGCTGCTGCTGAAGACAAGGATAGGGATGAAGCTGTGGTTGCCGGGCAACATGACGTGCTAGTGGATGCACCACCACAGGCTGCCATTAGCGCAGCTAAATTGGCCGGTAACTGCATAGCGGCAAGCGCTGCCGCATTACCCAACGCTAGTGAGGTAGTTGGCGGAACAAGAGCACCAAGTTGAGAGGCTAAAAACGAACGCCATTTAATCACGTGCGTTTCTTCACTTCAGAATATTCTCATTTGCTTTTCACAATTTCACTTATTGATCTATTAAGTTCAGCCCCGTTCATACACCACTGATAGACATACGGAACAAATTTTTTCCACAACCTGATAATACCCTCATTTATTTTATTTCAGACGGAAACACTACAAAACAAAAAAAAATTAAGTGAATTACAATATGGCGTAAATACGATAAATGAACAAAAAACAGAGTATGCAAGAAAAGGCTGAACTGATAACGTACACGACTGAAATGGAAAATTCGCCAGCTGGGCGTTACTTGGACTGGCAGGAAAACTTTTGATTGGTGAGCTACTTTCATCCGTTATACCGTGCTTCTTTTGGCGATGAGTTTTCAGAAAATAACGATTACAAAAATTTTTATCGCATAACTCGCAATAAGCATCCTGTAAAATTGATACAAATGAATCATAAATCAGGTGACAGAACAAGGAACTCGAAAAGTTCAGCAACAAATGCACCGAATGCTAGATGAAGTTCAAACAAAAAACCCCTCTTTTGATCAATGCTGCATGCATATGGTATGGCACGTTACAAGTAGATGAAAAGAAAGGAAGCTAACGATGAAAAAAAGCCATCGATCTTGCAACGATTAAGAGGTATAGAAATGAATAAATGAAAGAATAGTCGATTCGGCCAGAAGAAAATTCATTTGCAAACAGCTATTAATTTTTTTTTCAGGAAGAAAATTTTCTTGGAATCGAATGTGGACTGCAGAAAAATTTATCGGTATAGTATGCGATTGTTAGCACGTGTGCATAATTTTGTTTGTGTGTGGTCGTCTGGAATGAACAATATTTTTATCATGAAATTCACACTGATGTTTGATCGTACTGTCTGACTGTTACTGTTGTTGATAAAATGCCGCATATTTTATTACATTCATCCTTTAAAAAGATTTTTTTGACCGAAGACGAAATGAACAAATGAGGACTGAACTATTAATTAATTAACACACCTTAGCCGGACTATTGCCGTAATTACCAGCCGCTGCAAAGAAGGCAGCAGCAGCCGCCGCAGCACTATTTGGTGTGAGCGGTGGTGCGATGGTCGCCGATGAGCATGCGGACGATTGTGACGAAGTTGAAGCAGAAGAAGAAGAGGAAACAGATGGCTGTTGCTGGCATAAGGCCGCAGCGAGAGCATTCAGTGGTTGATTTATCAAAGCACTGTTGAGTATCGATGATGATGTTGCTGTGGATGTTAATGGGTTACTGTTACCATTACTATTACTATTCAATGACTGTTGTTGTTGTAATGAAGATGCAGAAGAGAGCATCTGAGCAGCATTCATCAGTTGCATTTGCTCTAATAATGACGGCACTGCTGACGTACCTGACGGTGGCGTTATGCTAAAATTAATTCAAGCTTGTTTGGTTTAGTTCATCAATACTTGACTCACTTCCTTGCTGATCACCATCATTATTTAACACTGACAGTCAAGTGATGTAAAAAAGGAGTAAATTTTTTTGAAAAATAATGATAAGCACAAAGAAAATGATAAAACCCAAAAAAGTTGTGAATTTACCAATTTGGAGCTGTTTGAATGGAGTTAGCAGGAGAAAGTGCGACAGTCGATTGTGGCATAAAACCGGCTAACCAATTCGGTACTGATTCATTTGAAATCGGCGATGAATCTTGATTATTATTATTAGTAGTAGTAATAGTAGTAGCAGTAGTAGTAGTGGTACGAGATGTTGATGAATGAGAAATAGTTGGAGCTGTTGAGGAGGAAAGTGATGAGGAAGATGTTGACGGCGATGCACTCGTCGCAGTCATACTGAAATCATTCATATCAATTGTTAAAATAATAAAATTATTAACAATGACTTCATAAAAACCACATACGAACATCACACATTCAAAGACCAACTCGCTCACTTGTTAACAAACTATAGTATGATAACTATGAAATGACGAACATAGCCATCACTCATTTATTCATACGTTTGCTCGTTCGTTTGAATAAGTTAAAATGAATAAAAACATCATCACTATTATTATTGGTATCAATACTATAATTATGGGTACATGAAATATGATGATGAAACACGGATTCAGTTTGATAAATTTATTTACATTTATCTATCTACCTACATTTCTATTTGAATAGTGCCTAGTGTATGCGCTTAATATTCCACTTACTAGATATTTGACAATTATACATTGAAATTACATTTATTCGATGAAATATTTGGATTCGTTTACACTGAACTGACTGAAAGTCGCTTCTTTGAAACGCACAGTTGAACAAAAATCGCTTTTACAAGCCATTACTAGTTATATATATAT